AAAAAAAAAAAAAGAAGAAGAAGAAGAAGGAGAAGAAGATATATTCAAATGATATGTATTTAAAGGAAAAAATTTAAAGTTAACTTTAAAAATCCACGAATCTGGGCCTCTTTGCCTACTTGTCCTGGCCCTGGAGGCCTGTCAGCTGTGTGTGGCGACTGTACCCTGCTTTGGAAGCTTTCTTACTCTGCAGGCCTACCTTTCTGAATAAACTTTTGTTTCATGCTTTCCTAAAAAAACAAACAAACAAAAAAACTATATCTGAAAAATCACTTCTCAATCACTCTCTCATCAAGCTAAACCAAGTCTAACCAACTCTTCCCTAAATGTTATAATAACTGGCTCCCAACAACAACAACAAAAACATTGTTTCCTTTTATTCAACATCAAATGTGGAACAAAATAAGGTTTTGAAGATGCTTTTGCATTATAAATACTATAAAAATAGCCCCCAGTTTCTGGCCAAATTTAGTATTTGCATCATCATTAAAATAGGTTGTGAAGTAGGTAAGAGGATTTTTTTTTTTTTTTTTTGAGACAGTCTCATTTTGTTGCCCTCAGTGGAGTGCTATGCTGTCTTAGCTCATAGCAACCTCAAACTCTTGGGCTCATGAGATCCTCTTGTCTCAGCCTCCCAAGTAGCTGGGTCTATAGGTACCCCCAACCACACCTAACTGTTTTTAGAGACAGGTCTCGCTCTTGCTCAGGCTGCTCTAGAACTTGTAAGCTTGGGCAATCCACCTGCCTACGCCTCCCAGAGTTCTGGGATTATAGGCGTGAGCCACCATGCCCAGCCTTTAGGCACAAGGATTTCTGTTTGAAAACTAGGTTTGGCGTTTTAAGTGGCTATATGTGCAATTGCATTTTTCAGTCTTTCAAAAAATGCCCTCCATGACCAAACTTTTGCAAAATCCAAGCCCCAAACAATCAGTACAGAGTAAGACAATGGTTGAATACAGAGATTTAAGAGCCTGTGGATTTGCACTCAGCTGTTAATTGCTACCTTGGTCACTTGGCAAGTTACTGAACATTCCTGAGATAATAATAATAATTCCTATAAGAATTATTGACAGTATTCAATGAAATAATTCACATACGTTTGGCATGGTGTCAATTTGTTGATTAAAGATGCTATCGCTAGATGTTAACATTAAAAAAAAGTTATTTTGAAATCACATTTTTGTAGATTATAATTACCTTATTTTATAGACAAAAATGTTGCTTCCATACAACAACAATTACCTTTATTACTGAAATCATCAATTAACACAATTTCTGCTAAATATTTCCTGGGAGTCCTTTTAATTACACTGTGGACTGTCCTCATGAGGGTTGACCATCCTTCATTATGGAAGACCACAATGACACTTGCAGTGAGCAGGTTCTCATCATAATGCCAATACTTGCATCTGCAAAAGGAAAACGTCTCCATGTTTATTTCGAGGTGATCTGTAATGCTCAGCTTCGAACTTACTGTGGTTGTTATTTTCTGATTAAGTTAAATATAATTGAGTTCACTAAGGTAAATGAATGAAATGCATCCTTTAAGGCTGGGGGCCATGGCTCACACCTGTAGTCCCAGAACTCTGGGAGGCCAAGGCAGGAGGACTCCTTGAGCTCAGGAGTTTGAGACCAGCCAGAGCAAGAGAGAGACTCCGTCTATACTAAAAATAGAACAACTAGGCAGGCGTGGTGGTGGGCCCAGCTGGTGTAGTCTCAGCTACTTGGGAGGCTGGGGCAGGAGGATTACCTGAACTCAGGAATTTGAGGTTGCTGTGAGATGTAATGATGCCAGGCCACTCTACCCGGGATGACAGAGTGAGACTCTGTCTCAAAACCAAACAAACAAAAAGAAAAGCATCCTTTACTATTTTAACAGAAACATGAGACAGAGAAGCTATGATGGCAAAAAGTTGTTCCTAAGCAAACTACTTCATAACCAACACTTAAGGTCATTATAAAAAAACTAATTTGTGATTTTATGCTCAGGATGCGCTAGGTCAGTGGTTCTCAACCTTCCTAATGCTGAGACCCTTTAATATAGTTCCTGTGCGTCCACAGGTTGGGAACGGCTGCTTTAGATAGTATTTATAGCTAGCAGGTTTTTTTTTTCTTTTCTCCATGAGTTAGATCTCAGCCTATTTTTCTTTATGAAACTTGAGCTTTTGGGACAAGAGATTTATTTCATTTACTAGAAATAAAACACTGTATTACTGTGTTTGAAGGCTGTCCGGTTCTATAGGGCAAAAATGTTCAGAAAGAGAAAATGGAAATAGGTCAACTTGAGATAGTTAGCAGAATTCAGATATTTATTGTTGAATGAATAAACAGTTTTAATATTGCTTAGAGCTAGTATTGGTTAAAGAATGGGTATTTAGCTACTTTACACAAATCTATTTTGGTTTTGATGGTGCGTGTAAGGGTTTAACCGTATTTTATTTAAAAAATTGCTGGGTACGTAAATCTCCAAAGGAATCTTAATTCTGGTAAGTTTTTATATAACAAAACTTGAACACAATTTGATCTCTCAACAATTCCTTTTTTTTCTTTTTATTTTTTTTTGAGACAGAGTCTCACTCTGTCACCCTGGGGAAAGTGCTCTGGCATCATAGCTCACAGCAACCTCAAACTCCTGGGCTCAGGCAATTCTCCTGCTTCAGCCTCCTGAGTAGCTGGGACTATGGCACTTGCCACCATGCCTGGCTAGTTTTTCTATTTTTAATAGAGACTGAGTCTTGCTCTTGCTCAGGCTGGTCTCAATCTCCTGAGCTCAAGGGATCCACCTACCTTAGCCTCCCAGAGTGCTGGAATCACAGGTGTGAGCCACAGCACCAGGCCCTAACAATTCCTTTTAATTTCCTCCTTTTAAAAAAGTGGTAGGCCAGCAGTTGTATTTGTGTTTGGTTACTCGCTTTTGTAATTTAGGGGCAAGAGCTTAACGGGTCTAACAATGGGTACATTGCATAGATATATGGTACACCACCTGGGTGTTGGACACACCTACAAATCAAACCATAACCTTACAAACACAAACTATGGAATCTGTCTCCCTACATTAATCTGAAATCAAAACAAAAAGACACAGGTCTAAAATTATTCTTATCTTTGACATTACCTTATCAATTCACCTATGTAAAAATTTTTAAAATAAATATATTACATGCAACTATTCAAAACAACTACATCAAGAATAATGTTGTCAGAGCCTCTTTTTTTCTTTGACACAGGGGCTGGCTTTGTTGCCCAGGCTGGAGTGCTATGGCATCACCATAGCTCACTAGCCTCCAACTCCTGGGCTCAGGCGATCCTCCTGCCTTAGCCTCCCAAAGCACTGGGACTACAGGAGTGAACCACCAAGCCTGGCCCAATGGCTACTATTTTTTGAGACAGAGTTCACTATGTCACCCTGGGTAGAGTGCCAAGGAGTCAAAGCTCACAGCAACCTCAAACTCTTGGGCTTAAGCAATTCTCTTGCCTCAGCCTCCCAAGTAGCTGGGACTACAGGCACCCACCACAATGTCCAGCTATTTTTTGTTGCTGTTGTCATTGTTTGACAGGCCTGGGACGGGTTTGAACCCACCAGCCTCAGTGTATGTGACTGGTTCCTTAACCACTGTGCTACGGGTGCTGAGCCCCATTGGCTACTTCTTTTTTTTTTTTTTTTGAGACACAATCTCACTTTATCTCAGTAGAGTGCCACAGCATTACTGCTCACAGCAGCCTGAAACTTTTGGGCCTCCCAAGTAGCTGGGACTACAGGTGCCTGCCACAAGGCCCCACTATTTTTTATTACTGTTGTCATTGTTGTTCAGCAGGCCTGGGTCAGTTTTGAACCTGCCTGCATTGGTGTACGTGGTCGGTGCCCTACCCACTGAGCTACAGGCACGGCCATAATGGCTACTTTTTTTTTCTTGAGACAGAGTCTCACTATGTCCCCCTTGGTAGAGTGCTGTGGCATCACAGCCCAAAGCAACCTCAAACTCTTGGCTTAAGCAATTCTCTTGCCTCAGTCTCCCAAGTGGCTGGGACTACAGGTGCCACCACAACACTCAGCTATTTTTTGGTTGTAGTTGTCATTGTTCTTTGGCAGCCCCAGGCTGAGCTACAAGCAGGGAGCCATCAGTGGCTACTTTTTAACAACTATTTTTTAAGTATCCCTAAATGATCTCCATTAGCATCTTACTGGGCATCAAGATAAAATTTCCAGAACCAATTTTTTTCTCTCCCCCTCTTGGAGAATAAAAACCAATATTCCCGCCTACCCCCCCCTAGTTTCCTAAAACCTCTCCTTTGCTCCCCAATACCTCTGGGTTACTGACAGCACTTCCTCTCTAACCCATCTGGCAAATTCCTAATGTCTGGTGTCATAAAAGGCCTGAAAGGGCCTCAACAAATCTCATGCCCTCTTAAGGTGTTAGTTACAAAGCTTTCAATATGGAAATCACCTCTGCAGGTAGTTTTCTCTCATAAGTTAAAATCATACACTGTGCCTTAATCATCTGCCTCAATTAGCTTTTTTCATTATTTTACCCCAAGCAGATTTTAAAAATATTTTAAAAGATTTTTTTCTGGTTAATTTTTATAGACACCCTTGGGATGTGTAAATACCTCCTGCTTTTCTGAAAAAAAAAAAAGCAGGTGTCCTTCTCTGGGAATTTCCTCCAAGTGATGTTCCTGAGTAGAAGACATCTGAGGATGTCACTCTGGGGCCAGAAGCCTAGAGCAGAAGTGAAAGTTGTCTGAGCTGGGCCACTCAAGAGTCCTCCCTCTGAATTCTGAGCATCAGAAACCAGTTGGTTTCTGTCAGGCTCTAGCTATGCGAGGCCAGGGCCAGGCAGAAGTGGAGTTCGTGAATTCTCAGAGAAGACGTGGAGCTTTTGTTCTTGACTTTTCAATTTCCAGCTTCCAATTCTTGCTTTGGATTCTCCCATGGCTGCACATCCACTTCTGGACCTTGAGTCTATGAGCCACTCCGACATCCTTTCAATTAGGAGCTCACCTCCCCCCCACCCCCACATTTTTAGCTTAAACTATTATAGTTAAACAGATTTGTTTCTGGGCAAGTAATCCGTGTCTAACATGCTACTCTTAAGACTTTTGGAAATTTTAGTTTATTATGTATATGCCTTCATGTAATTTAACTCAGAGCTTTCCACAAGCTTTTAATCAATAGATGTATCTACCTATTGACTCTTATAATGTAAGATTACTGGAGAACTTTCTCGATGGCCATTGTTTTATTTTGTTTTGTTTCATTTTTGAGACACAGTCTCACTTTGTCCCCCTGGGTAGAGTGCCATGGAGTCAAAGTTTGCAGCAACCTCAAACTCTTGGGCCCAAGTGATCCTCCTGCCTCAGCCTCCTGAGTAGCCGGGACTACTGGCGCCCACCATCCCATCCAGCTAGTTTTCCTACTTTTAGTAGAGATGGGGTCTTGAACTTGCTCAGATGGGTCTCAAACTCCTGAGCTCAAGCAATCTACCCACCTTGGCATCCCAGAGTGCTAGGATTATAGGTGTGAGCCACTTGAACCCCACCTATAAACTCTTAAGATGACCTAGTTACTTTTCCCCAATGTTCTTATCAGTAGGACCTTCCTTGAAGGTCAAAGGTAAGTCTGTGACAAGGAAACTCATTCTTCCTTCTCATCTGTGAAGCAAAGCTAATCATCAGAGGTTCCAGTATTCAAACAGCATTTTCATGTACAAGGTCAGACAGTTAAGTTCACGTACTTGTACTAGAAAAAGTGCTGCATACCTCACTGCTGAATACCACCATGGTGGTCATCTTCAAGGTCCTCCCCTTGGCTGACTGGTGACTACTGTGACACTCAGCAGCATGTGGTACATAGCATTTTTTTCTTGGACAAGTTTGAGAACATAATTGTCTGACTTCATGTGATGACAGCTCTAGTGGCCATTCCAGAAAAAGATTTCCAAAAGTGCTTTGAAGCATAGCCTGGGCGTTGGTGTCAGTGCACAGCTTCCCAAGGGGAGGACCTCAAGGATGACCACAGTGAGATTCAGCAGTAAGTAGCACTTTTTCTAGGATGAGGTTATGAACTTAATAGTCTGAGGTTGAAGGTCAAGTTCACCTAATAGTTGGGTCAATCATGGCTGTGTAGTGAGGACTTTATAAAAACCAGGAAAAACTAGATTTGGGAAGGTTCTGAACAGCTGCATGCATGGAGCTTCCTGCAGGTGGTGGCCCTGGAAGCCCCCTGCCCTTTGCGCTACACACCTCTTCATCTTATTCTTTGTAACATCCTCTATAATAAACCAGTGAACGAGCTTCCCAGAGTCCTGGGGGCTGCACCTGGAATCGGTGGGGAGGGGGCAGTTTGGGCCCTCCCCTTCCCCATGGGACCTCATGCCACATCCAGGCAGAGTGTTGGAATCCAATTATAGGT